TGTGGCACCATCTCCAGTACCTGTGGACAGCTTGCCAGTTACCCACTGGCTCTCGTGAGGACACGTATGCAGGCCCAAGGTGAGAACTTCTGGGAACTCCTGTCATGGTCTCTGAGTAGGGTAAAGGTCCTCTAGCGTAAACATTGCAACAACAGCCTTAACTGGCTCGCGCAGCTGGGCAGTAGGCTATTTGCCGTGCTGCAAGAGGACAGTGGACTTCGTGCTGCCCTTAGCGTCTGGGCCAAGCACCTCCAGGACAGAGGTTCTGTTTTGCTCAAATCAGGAGTTTTGGGCTAAGGGCATCTGCAGAGCAGTTTGGGAAAATGGCTGCGATGTGCAGCACGGCCATGGCTTGCTGAGAAATTAGATGCTATCCCCCATGAAGCACCTTTGGTCTGTGAACATCCACAAGAAGCACATGAATCAGAACTGCTCTGGGAGACAGATGTTACCTTGAAGTGTTTTCACCATGTAGGCTGCATTATTTATTGTGGCTTTCCCTATTGCAGCTTCAGTGGAGGGTGCTCCCGAAGTGACGATGAGGGGACTGTTTAAACACATTCTGAAGACAGAGGGAGCATTTGGTCTTTACCGGGGTCTGGCGCCGAACTTTATGAAGGTGATCCCAGCTGTAAGCATCAGCTATGTGGTTTATGAAAACTTGAAGATGACTCTGGGCGTGCAGTCACGGTGACCAGGAGATGCCGAGGACTTTGAACTCTGAAATCTTGGGGTGCAATCCCAAGACGTATAGCCATCTCTCATTCTGTGAATGTGTTGACACTAAGCTGACTAAGCAAAGCTGTGAAATCTCAGATAGTTTGTGAGTCAGTAAGGGGAAGGGGAGGATCTGGTGTCCTTTGCCATCTTGCTACTCAGAGCTCCACATAAACCATCACGTGGTCCTTTTTGTTGGGCCTTTTGGGGAGACCAGGAGGCAAACTCCTGGGAGAATCTTAAGGCGCGAGTTGCTGAGGTCAGTTCCCAGCAGTGTGGCAGAGTAGCAAAGATTTGGGTAACAGGTCTGCTTTCAGCGGATTGCATATACAGAGCTGTTTGCCTGCAGATGAGCACCTTCTGACTTGCTGAAAGAGCTTCTTTTTCCATTCAGAGAGCTTCTTTTTCCATTCAGTTGTTTAACTTCCTACCCGTTGTTTAAATTTGTACAAACCTTGTGTAGGAGCTGCTGCCACACCAGGCTTGTTATTATGTTTACATATATTCCTTTGGGTAGGAGACATTCATGTTCTGCTTCCAAGACTTGACATGAAATGTAACTTTGAACTATACTGGTTTTGAGGGCTGGTGGGCAGTGGTTTATCCAGTCAGGCTGAAGGTTACTTAGGCCAGCCTGATGAAGAATTAGGATTATTTATTTTTATAGGTTTAAGTGTGTCTCATAAATCCACTAACAAGATGCACTTACTAACAGAAGCAGCAGACTAGAGCCTGCATGCCTGTATCCTTTGCATGCCGGGATTGGCTTGTCTTATACTCCGCAGGGGCTTGGAAAGGGGAAGGCAGGAGAGCCCTGGATGGACTGGCACCTTGATGCATGGCTTTAGTGAAACAAAAGACAGTATTTCACAGCTCCTGTGCAGTTGTGCTCCCAGCACGACACGAGAGCCCCTGTGCAGCGTTGCATGGACCTCTGAATTCCATTCTGCCTGGTGCTGAGAATAGCTGGTGGACCTTTTCCAAACCCTGTGCCTACGCTGCTATCTATCTCTTTAGACCTCTTTGTAGATTGACGTTCAGGTTTGCATTAGTGGGATGGAGTCCCCAAGCCAGGAGTATGTCTGCTGTGGGAAGGGGTGTTAGGGAGAGGGGCTGGTTGTCACTGGGAGAGGTGAGCTTTCAGTCCTGAAGACATGCTTGCTTTTCTTTCAAAGGGTGCTTTTCATAAGGCTAAGGGAAAGAGATGGCTTTAAAATTTCTCTGACTGCGTTATGGGCTACTTTAGTTGATAGGATCTGGCTTCTGAGGCCTGGGAGATCCTCATCAAACTTTTCATTTTGGGCAAAATGGACCAGCGTTGCATTCCACTGTTTTACTGCTTAAAGCATATTTATTTTGTATTTATTTGAACAGAGTTATGTCGGACTATTTTTATAGACTTGTTTAAATATTGTTACTGTGCTTGTATTTCTCCTGTTTTAAAAAGTTCTCTATTTGTTCTTCTTACATCACACAGCTGAGTCGTGGGGAGGGATGCTAAAGTCACTTGCGTACCTTCCCTTTGGGGCTTGAGCTGCCTTTCCCACGTCTGGGGTTGTTGCTGGAGGACCTCAGCCCAGAGAAATTCTGTAGCAAGAAGCCATAGGAGAGAAGGGAGCTGGTGAGGAAGCAGTACCTTGGGAGGAGGGGAGAGGGTGCACTGTAAGGCTCGCCTTATTTTGGAATTGCCTCTGTGCATGGCTGAAAGGCTTTCAGGTGGATGGCTGAAGTTGGGAAGTAGAGGGTCTGTGTATGTTGGATGTCACAATGGCTAATTGAGAGAGATCTTGGGGAATTTTTGGGTAAGGGGGGAGGGGAGAAATCTCAGGGACTAAAGGAAATACAAGTTTCCCGAGAGATGGAAGGAAACTTGCATTTGGACACAAGCTGCTGCGGTTGTGCTTTGAGGCTGAATCAGCAGACCCTGCTGCTGAGCCAGTGCTCTTCACATGCAAACGGGCACTGTGGAGAAGCGTGTGAGAAATCGGGAAAGGATTTGCTAGCACTCAGCAGCTGCTTTTTTGCTGACAGATTTTGGTGGTTTGCGGAGAGTCTTCCGGGTGAGGCTCTGCCTTGACTATCCAGTGCTGTCGGTAGTTAGCCACGTGGAAATCTAACCAATCTGGATTAGTGATATGATTTTTTTCCCACCCCCCCCGTCTTGAGACCTGTCAAATTCTGCAGTGGCTCCTTCCTACCAGTGTGGCCTAATGGGAATATGAATATCAGAATGCAAAAATCAATGCAAAATGACAACCATCTTTGTAGCTGTAACCACAAATTGTTATAATGCAAATCTAACTCGGATTCTTCATGTAGGGAACAGTCTGCTAATAAAGGTCTGTCAAAGAGATACCACGTGTCTGCATCTCTTTCTTGATATGGTTTATTGGTGCTGTTCGTGGCCAGACTCTTCCCGGGATGATTCTCACCAAGGACACTGGCACTGGGAAGGATCCTCCCTACAAGGACCTGGGAGAACAGAATTCTTAAAGGCAAAACCAGCAAACCTGAGATCAAGGTTAATGATGGTAGTGATGAGTCAGGGGTGTTCAGATGCTGTTAACCTATCTCTGAGCGTTGCTGGACTTCGCTCATCTGTGCAGTATCCGTAACTGTTCGGAGAAGTGAGTTTCCCAGAAAAGCTGCAAACTCTGCAGCCCAGTTATGCCCTTGAAGGAACCTGGCTTATAGGGTTTTCAAAAGGAAGCCTTTGTACAATTTTTTTCTTCAACAAATAAAAAACCAACCAGGAGCTATCCTTGAAGGTCATTCAGGAACCATAGCTGGTAGGACAAGTGGCCTCTGATTGGGTTAACAAAACTTGTCACGGGGGCCAGACTGAGTTTGTTGGTTCCTTATGTCGCTGACTGTAATTCAGGGCTTTTATTCAGCTATAAATCTACTCATATAAAGTCTGGGTCCTTGTAATCTGAGCCACTGCTTTCCAGCGGTGTCAGCTGAGATGCTTATCGATGCTCTCTGGACTGCAGCACTGAAGGCTGCTGGCAGCATCCCCTCTCGCACGCTGCTGTCTCCGACCCCTTTAACTGTCTCGCTCCTCGAGGTGGGGGGTTATGTTTCGTGTCACAAGCTGATAAAGATGTGTCTGAAGCAAGGGCTGGCCAGGTACCTGTGCCCTGAGACCAGGAGGGAATTGGCTGTACTTGACCTTGTAAAAATTCATTTTTACTACTGGAAGCGGGCCAAAGGCTCAACGCTGAAACGCTGCCCAGTGAACGGCGCCGGACAGGGACAGGGCACCCTGGTGCCGCAGGGGGAGGAGCAGGGCGCTCTTCTTCGCTGTGTTCCCTCCAGCTTTTCTCCTTTTCTTCCTTTTTAAGGAAGAGAGAGATTTTCAGTGCTTAATTACTAGGTTGGAGCTGAGACTGAACTACTTTCCAGACACGCAGCAAAAGCAGTCTCTTTTTAAGCTCCCCCCACTTTCACAAACACAGAGCGACAGTGCTTTCCTCCCTTTGGGGCTGGGGGTGTGACAAGGGATGCGTGAGGCGCCTGATGAGCGCAGGGGTGTACCGGAGGCACGGAGAGCAATGTGAATCTTGGCACTTGAACCGTCTCGCCTCCAGGGTGCTGAGCTTATTGGGAAATGAGGAAACATGACCTTTTTCTCTGGGGAAGTAAAAATCCAGCCTGGGTTGGGTTAGCACCCCCTCCCTCTCTGGCAAGAGGATAATTTTTCAGTGTTGTCATATTATGTTGCAAACCTATTATCGGGAAGCTCTTGCCCAGCCCAAAGGGAACAAATGTTCCTGGGCAGGAATATTTGCCCCAGCTGGGCTACTTCTGGCAGTCAAGCTGCTGTCAAGAGAATTGGGTGGTTGCTTCTAGCTAAGCACCCTCTTCCTCTGAGACTGTACAGTTAAAGAAAAGTTTCTAGCTGCCTACATAGTCCAGTTACTCATCACATGCTTGGCACACTCATTTAAAATAGCTAATGATTGCCCTCTTCTGGTTAGCCTGTATTACTGCTTCATTTAAGTACTGCTTTTTTAAGTAGAGCTCTCTTGCAAGCTTGGTGTGAAGCTGAGCGGACTGAGTCAGTGCTGAAAAACCTTCCATGCGTTACCTTGTCTGACATCCCTCATTGCTCCAGGCTGACTTTTCCCAGCTCCCAGTTGAATGACACACGAGGTGAATCGGGTGCTCAACGTCTTTTTGCAAGCCCTGCTTCTGACCTCTTCAGAACCCCTGCTCTCCAGCGTCTCGGCAACAAAATGCATTGAATTTGAGGAAAATATTTATTGCCTAACGTGGTGGCATCAGTTACTTGTGCTCCCAGGCTGGTGGGTACCTGGAGGAGGTGATGCTGTGACTGCAGCCACGGGCTCCGTGCGTGGGTTGTTCCCTTTTTCGATTTCTTTCGCTTGACACAGCTCCTTCCAAAACAACAATGATGGGATAAATGAAACTGCCGGTGCACCGGCAGGAGAGAACTTACTGAAGAAAGAAGTATTTTTCTTTTCCTTTTTATCTGATTATAAGTCTAAGACAGCCTACAGAAGCTAGGGGCTTCCCCACGCTGCCCCAATCACAGACGCTGCTTCTCTGGGTGCTGAGCTGCTGCTGGTGCCTGTGCTGTAAAGAGGAAACCAGGTTTCTGGAGCAAAGCTGTGCTACACTGGCGGGTCAGTAGGCGTGCTCTGAAGGAAAGGGGGATTCAATCTTTTTGAGAAATAAAAAGCTCGTGCTACCCAGGTGCTCAGAGTTAGTGTGGTTTACGCTCTGCTAATGCCTCGGACTGATGCAGGGGTACACGAGTCTCTGCACCAGTGCTCTGTTCACACCCATCTCTTTCAGCCTGATGACAAAGGTCCCCAAAATTTGTTCTGCATTTGTTTAATCAGTTTCATTTTACTCCTCAGACATGGTGTCCTGCCTTTTGGCTGGGCACGAAACCCTTCTCTGCTAACAGTGATCGCACCAGGGCTTGTAAGGACAAACAGTTTTGGCTTATTCCACTCACCTTGGCTTTCTCTAAATGTAATTTGTCTTGCCCAAATTTAAATGTGATCCAGCTGTTAATCTGGGGGAGCTGGGCCCTGCCTCCCAGGAGCTGCCTGTTGCCTAATGGGGAGAGGAGACCTGCCCCGGCCCCACCGTGAGGGTTTCAACCTGTGCCTGTGTCTCTGTCCCCAGTACCCCTCAACCTGTGGGGGATATTTCTAAAAGAAGCATGTTGAGGCTGGGGGGTGTTGGGGGCTACATTGGGTCCAGTCTGGCAGCACAGAGCTGGGTTTTTGGGCGCCTCTGGAAGCTTAGAGTCTCCTGCTGTGGATGAGCAGATGGCCAGGACAGGAATGGATGGATGGGACAGGAAAAGGTAAGCTATTTTTTCACCCCCTGCTTTGCAAAAGGGAGCCCCAACAACCTGGCTTGGGGACTGGGTCATTTGCAGGATAAAACGTCCTAAATCAGGTGGCAGAGGTTAAGGCTAGGGCTGGGTCTGGTTAATGTTTTGATGGAAAAACCGAAGGAAAAAGTCTGTTTTTGTGGGAGTGGATGGTGTTGCCTCTTTCCTGATGTCCCATAGGGACCCCAGCCCAAAAGGAGCCTCTGTGCTGGACACCCCCGTGCCGGGGTGGGAGGAGGACTGGCTTGCGCAATCTTCCTGAACCCCATTTACAGCCAGCCAGGCTGTGAACCCGCTCATCACGCGGCACCTCGGGGTGCCAGAAAACAACCCAATTGAAATTGCTGTGGCTTCGGCTGAAGTGGGGCCGTGCAGCGCCCCAGGGCACCGGCCCCTCCTGTCCCTTGCTGCAGCTCCTGGGGGTGGCTGGCCTCTGCTGGGGGGGGCAAAATCAGGAATTTCAGGGCAAAAATCCCATGCTTTAGCTATCTCCCCGCTAGCAGGGGGAGGCAGGCAGTTACCAGGTTTCCCACTGGAGACGCTCAGGTGCAGGTATTTGCTTTGGGGAGTCACGTATCTGCTGGCGGGTGTTATTTTAAACCACTGTCACTGTCGAAGCGAGCCTGCCTTTACTTAGTCCCCTAAATCATCTCCACCACCTTGAAAATATCTCTCCGAGACCCCAGTTTGGCGGCTGGAGCTACAGCCCGAGGTCTTGGCACCCCTGCCTGGGGCGAGGGGCTGCGGCGGCTCTGCCGACCCTCGCCCACCCGTGAGCAGCCACGTACCGTTCTCCACGGCGCGTACACCATCTCCTCTTTGCTCAGCCCCAGGCACTTGGCGTGGTGCTCGAACTCTTCCCGGTGGGCTGTGCTCACACTCAGGTTTCGGGCTGCAAAAGGAGAAGCATTTGCCAGGCGTTAAATACCGACCGGCGGCCTTGGCACAGCCCTTCGTGCCGCGTCCCTGCCCTTGCTGCCTCCCTTCCCCACGCTCCCAGCAATGCTTGCTGCGGAGGTGGTCTCTGCTGGGGTCTCTCAGCCCCCGTGGTGAATACACCTGAACAAAACCAACCTTGGGCATCGCTTTTTTTTTAACCCTCTCCCTAGATAGCTCTGGTCCCGTCTGCTTTAATGGATTGCAATATAGTCTGGCACTCCTGGGGCATCGGGAGGGACCAAAGGGTGAGTATGGAGGCGGTTTTCTATACGCGTCTTCAAACTCTCTTAAGCAACTGCTTTGCAGCCTGGAAGGGCAATGGGAAGCCTTATCAAGGTCTAAAATGCTGCTTTATGGGGTTGTGGGTAGATCTGATCGGCTTTGCCTGTGCCGGTACTGCAAAGCCACGTGCTCTGCCCTGGGAGGTAAGTACCGAAAAATCATGGTTGGCTTGAAAATACTGAGATTTTACAATGATATTGACGCTGAATTGTATTTGCTTCCTGTTCTTTGAATATTTATGGCGTAAGTAGGTTTTGTCTTTAACTTGGTCTTTCTGCTCTGCCAAGAGATTTAGGTTTTAATGGGATTTGTAAATACTCCCGTGACCCCTGGAGCGGCAGTCTCAGGAAAATCATTGACTGTTGGCGAAACCAAGTTGCTGCGTGGTTGTAGCTGGTAATTTTATGTGCGTGTTTTGGTGTCCCACGATAGCTTTAAGTTACTTTAGGATGGAGTTTGCATACCGTAGAGATACAGTCCCAAATACGTCCTTTCCCTCTGCAGTTGGTACTGGATGAGTAAAACGTCTTCAGAGCTGAGGTTTATCAGCATCCCCACGGTTTGCTGGGTCTTGGCTTCGAGAGAACAGAATCAGGGTTGGGAACAGCCGCGATATTCAGATTTTCAGTGCTGCAGCAGCGATAAACAGCAGCCCGGGTGTGGGCAATGCGGGATCTGACGCGGTGCGGGTTGTTCGGCTCTCCGTTTATTTGAATTGTATTTCTTAAATGTGGGCCTGGGGTGTGAAGGAGCCAGAAGCACCCAGCTCCTGTCCTACTGTTGCGATGTGCTGGGTGGCGTGGCTCGCTGGTGCTCGGGGTATGAGCAGGGGGAGCTGCAGAAATGTGGATCAACTGTCCCCAGCTCGCAGCAATGCCGTCTTGGCAGGGTCAGTGCAAACTGCGGCTCTGGGGTTTGCAATTCCCACCCCAAACGGCTCACCCCCTTTCCTCAGTGAGGAGGAAATGATTTCAGAGCTGAAACCTGCCATAAATGTTCCCCTCCTCTCCCACAGGGATTGCGAAATAACTTTACAAACAAGGCGGTCTCCTTCCTTGCGATGCGAGCAGGTTTGCTCCTTGCTCCCGGCTCGGCATTGCTTTGTGGGGTTTAGACCCAGGGTGCCCCTGGCCCTGGGGAGCCGTTTGGAGCCCACCGAGGCTTCAAACGGACAAAGCGACCCGGGAATAAAATGTGTCAGATGATGTAAAACATCGACACGGGCCCTTTGTGTGTCTCAGCCCTTCCGAAAAACGGACTGGGTGATAACCCCGAAGGCTGTGCCCGCTGGCGCCGCTCACCGTGCTTCACCAGCGTGGTGTTACTGGCGTCGATTTCGAAGTAGGTGGAGTTGTTAGTGAGACATTGGTCCCTCCTGGAGAGAGAGAGGGGAAGGGAGTGAGGTGGGGAAGGAGAGCGAAGACCCCCCTCCACGGGCTGGAAAGGACTGGACCTGGCCCTGCATGGGGCACGTGCCCCTAAGCCGTGGGATGGGAACCCAGCTGTGCCAGCTCCTCCGCAGAGTTAACTGCTCTCACTGTTAAAAATAAGCCATTTCTCCCATGCATTTGTCTGACCTTGTCTGATTTTGTTCAATATCTTTATCAATAGTCTGGATGAGGGGACCGAGTGCACCCTCAGTAAGTTTGCAGACGACACCAAGTTGGGCGGGAGTGTTGATCTGCTCGAGGGTAGGAAGGCTCTGCAGAGGGACCTGGACAGGCTGGATCGATGGGCCGAGGCCAATTGTATGAGGTTCAACAAGACCAAGTGCCGGGTCCTGCACTTGGGTCACAACAACCCCATTGTCCTGGTTTCGGCTGGGATAGAGTTAATTTCCTTCCTAGTAGCTGGTACAGTGCTGTGTTGTGGATTTAGGGTGGGAACAATGTTGATAACACACCGATGTTTTAGTTGTTGCTGAGCAGTGTTTACACTAGTCAAGGACTTTTCAGCTCCCCATGCTCTACCGACTGAGAAGGCTGGAGGTGCACAAGAAGCTGGGAGGGGGCACAGCAAGGACAGCTGACCCCAACTGGC